CTGTAGTAGAAAAATACGTACAGTCACATGTAACTATAATACAAGTATGTGTATACACACGTACGTATAGTTTGATGGGCCCACGGAAACTGTAGAGATGTGATAGAGTGGGCCCATGTTTTGGATGATTGGAGCTTCTTGATGCGGGGTCCCATTGGTCACGCATGTGCGAGAGACACGATGAAGACTAAGTTTTGTAGAGTGAATTTATAGAGGTTAGGTTTTCCTTTTAAGTACATTAATTACTAGTTGTGTATGTGGGTTATTTGTTCATTATTTTTATTATTCTCAAAAAATATATATATATAAATGATTTATATATTAGCATAGATAATTTGAAATTTTTACTTTTATTAGAATATATCAATTAATAATTTGTAAAAAAAAAATTAAATTTCTTAAATACTAAAAGAAGTTTCTTCTCTAATATATATGGAAGAAGAGTTACATTCTATAGTATATGTAATTTAAAAATTTGCTTCAAATATACTTTTATATTAGTTGGTAATTAAAACATAATTGTATACGAAAATATTTACAGCATATATACATGTCTAAAATATTCATAATGTGGATATAAACACTACAAGAAGGAGCTTCTTTAGTGACAAATTTATAAAGATAAAACTACATTTAAAAATAAAAAATAAAATTATGTGTTATTCATAATTAAAATTAACATTACAAAAACATAGCTCCTACAAGTTTTTGTTAATTATTCATGTTATTTGGCCATGATTAATTTTGATTATTACATAATTAATTAATCAAGTAAAAGATTAAATTACCCTTTTGTTGGTTCATCACAATTTTTAGTTTGCAATCAATTTACAGCTGACAGTGATAATTTATACCCCCAAAATTTGAACCATCATCAAATTAAACATCTAACAAAATTTTAAGAGAAACTTGTGCTATTTTATTTCTTATTTAATATATATTTTTTCCAAATAAAATTTGATCAAAAAGTTGATCTAAAAAGTATGTGCAGTTATTTCCCTAAAACACTAAATATATACACTCCACATTCCATCCAAAATCTAACAAATCTCTGCAACTCATAGACCCAGATTTTATTATAAGCAAATAGGCATTTAAACTATTTCTTCCTGCTTCCTGGTTTTTCTTTTTCCTTATCCCCTGCAATCTTCATGCAGTCAGTCATATATTATATAATATTCATACGCAAACATATTTGGTTCAACTGCTTACATAATATCAAAAATATGTTCAAGTTACTAAAGATTGGAAAATAGTGATTACATCTATTTATTTAATACAGTAAGCATATGTTTTCTTTCTGCAAATTAGGCATTTTCTTGATTTTCTTCAAGTGCTTCTGATGGCCTCTCTGATGTAATATTAACCTAATCTGTTAAAAGTACAAGACCAAAGAATCGGATACCATACTGCACGCACATGTAAAATCAATCTGTGTTGCAGGAGAAGTAATTTTATGTGACACGTACATACTTATGAAATATTATGTTTTTAGTAACAATTAGACAAAAATTCTGAGTTGATGAATAAATTACTTTCATCAAGCTGTCAATAAAAATATATACGATAATATTCAATATATAACCGTTAGACAAAGTGGTTTCTCTTGCTGCATAATAATTTAGAAATTGATCTTATTAGCACCCAAAAGATGAAGATAATGAAAGAGAGAGTTAAATGAATGGATGCAAATGTCATAAAACAGGAATCATAAGAAACCTGAACTAAGTTCTCAGTGTCTTGAAAATCTTCAGGCCTGTACAATTTCATGCGTTGATGCCTGGGAGGCCATGTTTTTCATGGGGCAAGGGAGGCTTGGCAAGCCAAGGCAGGCCTGGACACGATAACCAGGGATTAGAGACACTATTATGTTGTTCCTCAATTTCAGAGCTTCTGGTTACTTTCCAATTTTTATTGCCCAAGCAAAAAGAAAGAAGAATGTAAACAAGTTGTTATCAAGCTTTGGACATTCTCCACCCGTTAATCTTTGGAGAGATGGCATTGCAGCTCCAATGCTCCTCAACTCCAGTAGTTCAAATAAATGTAGTTTATGTAGATTTGGCATTAAACATGCTCTTGTCCAAACTCAAATATACTCTTGAGATTATCACAATAATTAATTAATATGAAGTATCTCAAGGTTAATTGGTTGTTGCGCTGAGGAGAAAACAGTATGAAGTAGTGGACAGCAGTCTATGGTCATTAGAGAGTCAATTTGACTATAGATAATTTGAGGAGATAGGGCAAGATTTTAGTCAACACTTGTTATCTTTGTAAGAGGGCAGAGGATGCTTGTAACCACGTTCTGCTTTAGTTATCCTATGCTTTATAAGCTCTGAACTATGATTTATGGGCCGTTAGAAATCAATTGGGTTATGACAGGTTTGATGAAAGACGAAATTTGGATGTGGAAGGGCATTAGTGGCTGAAGGAAACAAGTGGACCTAATACCGCTTACTATTTTTTAAGTTGTGTTGTTCGAGAGTAATAGAAGGGTTTTTGACAGGAGTGAGGATGTAGATGGTTTTGAAGTACTTAAAAATAAATGGTTCCAAACCCTTAGTTTTATGTTATCAGGTCATCATCTTCATTCAATGGAGGATTTAATGAATCTCATTGACACTTTGATTGACTTATAAGTTTTGTATATGGATGACATCCTCTTGATGCGGATAATATATTCTTTAAACTTATATTTCAAACAAAAAGTTGGACGGCAGTCTACGTACAAATATTTAAGATTCTTGAAGCTCTCAAGTGTACATTGCTACTGCATATGTTCTTCAAATTAATAAGGTTCAAAACCCACAGAGCCTCAAGATAGTTTTGCAGTCCAATGGCTTCCTCTCCTCCAGTGAAAACAGACTCCATAATAGTGCATATCTCTAGGAAACAACTTTTCATTGCCCTGATGTTGTTTACAACTAATCCAGACAAGCAACTTATACTTACATCACACAAATATACATATTCAGCCTATTTTGGAATTCTCTCAAGACCAAAGAGAAGACTGTGGAAGTGAATTTCTAAAGTTTTGCTGTGGGTTCCAAGGTAACTAGAGAAACATCTAGTTCTTGTGTAAATATCTCTAAACTTTAGGTTCATCTCTGCATCTAAAGAAAGCGCCATCTTCACCTTCCTTCGTAGGAGGAAAAACAAAGAAATGAAATTGCTTGAAGTATGTGTCCCATAACATGAGAATTTCTTCCAATTTTGAAAAAACTTGATGCCACCCACTAATATTTGATGATTATTTCCACTCAAAATATTTTCTCTGCCTTAAAGATGCCAAAATCAACTGATAGTTCCACAGTAGGCGCTTTATCCTCCTCCAATCAAGTTCTTCATGAACCTCCTCGAAAGGGAGATCAAGGTGTTTAAGGCAGGTCAACTCTGAGATATACAAAATATCCATTGATTCTGGTGCCCTACAAATCAAGAACCTCCAAATGACTTAGTGATTCCAAAATGCTGCAGTCTGCTCAATTCCAACAAGATTCTAGTAAAAGCTGGCAAGATTGTCTAATGTCTTCAAGGAAGGACGATGTTCCACAGCTGTTCCAGAAAGATCGAGAACCTCAAACCTCATAAGTATATCCAGGTGTGGTAGTTCTCGTAACTTTGACCAGCCTTTTAACAATAAGCCGGTCAGGTTAGTCAGGGTGGAAATGAAGGGTAAACCGTCTAAGTATTGGTGTTAGATACAGGTTGAAGATTCAGATACCATCCAAAGTTTCGAAGTATAGATGCTGCTTATGTAACACCCACCTAGAATTTTATTATTTATTTATTTATTTTTTTTAATAAATACAATTTTTTAATTATTTAATTTATTTTATTATATTTTTTAATTTTAATTTAATAAAAAATTAAGTAAATTAATAAAATATTAAATTGAAAATAATTTTGAAAAAAAAAGGTAAAAATATGAGTTCTCGGAGTACTTTTAAAAAAAAATCAGAAACCGGGAGTTCAAACGCAATTTAAAAAAATTGCGCCACATCAAACGCCCGACCAACCAAGACACGCCAAGTGGTAGAGGCGCTGATGCGGGAGGCCACGCGGGGAGAGCCACGTGAGCGATCCGCATGCGTGCGATCGAACGGCTGAGGTCCGTTCCCGCGCGCACGGACAGCCCAGAGTGAATCGCGCACGGATGACTTAGATTGAACCACGATGAACGGTCCAAATTCACTCCCTATTCAATCGCGATCAGATGGTCCAGATCAAAAGTGATGGACGGCTCAGATCAAAAGCGAATGTGTATAAATAACTCCATTCGCACCCTAACCCTAACCCTAGCCGCCAGACCCCCTCGCCGGAGAAGACAACCAAGCCGCCGCCACTCGCCGCCGCACCGGAACCCTTTTCGACTGCCAAAAAAGGTAAATTTTTTTTTTTGCACGAAATTCAATTATAAACCCATCCATGGCCAAATCGAAGTGAAAGAATTGACCAATTGACCTAAAAATACAGTTGAAGCTCGACATCGCCGCCGCTGGGAATTTCAAAAATTGCCTCCGATGATGTCCTTCTCGATTCCCGTTTTGTGTAATTTTTTCACCGTTGTGATCACTGTTTTCTTCTCTACAGGTTGACCAAAGCGAAACACCCAACTGCAACATGAGCCGGAGGAGCCGCCGCACCGGAGAGCCCCGCCTCCGGTGAGTTTTAATTTTTCGTATTTTTTCGGCCCACCGAGGCCCTTTAGCATGTGTGCTCGCAGGAATAGATGTAAAATTGACCAAATTTGGCTGAAAAGGACTGACTCGAGGCGGACCGCCACTGTGGACGGCAGCGCAGTCGCTAGAGCACGGCGGAGCTGCCGTGCCGGATTTTCGAAATTGGCTGAGTAGGCCCTGGGACTGATTTTTGGGTT